GCCTTTGGCATTTAGGACAAGGTCACTGCCCCTCTCATGACTATGGCAGGTCCATGAGCCATGTGCACAGCTCAGGGAGCTGATGCAAGGAGTGACTTGACCTTCACTGGAGGTAAGAGTTTCCTGGTGTCTCCAGGAAGCCACCACAGCTACTCTTCCGGTCCCAGATCCTACGTGCCCCTTAAACTCTCCCTGAACATGTGCTGAGTATATAAATAAACATGCTGGGCAGTTCCTTTCTCCCATCAGGGTACAGAGCTCCACCTGACTCCAGCTTTTGTACATTGACTCCTGCCTTCTCCACCTCCACTGTCCTCCCTCAAGTTTCATGAGATGTGCCAAATGCAGCTCTAACATGTGATAATGCTGATTCCCTCGGAAGACAGGGCATGAAGGAGAAGTATTGGAAAGGTTGTGGTCATATCATTAACTTAAAAGTACTCTGTATTGGTCACTGATTGAGCAGTTGATGGCATTTCTCTTTCAGAGGAAAAAATACTGAAGTTATGGGCATCTGGTTTTTTATTTGATGAAAGGAAAAAGCCCTAAATTTGTTAATTAAATTTGACAACCCAAATTTTTACCTTGTGCTCCAAAATGGAGAAAGTGTTCATTGAGTGAGGAATCTCAGCATGAAGGGAAAAAATATGTTGTATCCATATAATACTTAATGACAAATTCTAACTTGGGGAGTTAAGTACTTTGCAAGCAGTGGGGAGATGATGATAATGATGATGATGATGATAGTGTGTATTTTTAACACTGCAGCACTGGGTACCGTGGATAAAGCCTTTGCAGTGAGCTGCATCCCTAACTCTTATTTTAAGACAGTCTCCCCAAGTCACTAAGCTGTCCAGTCTGGGCTCCAACTTGCAGTCTTCCTGCTTCAGCCTCCCAGTGCTGGGACCACAGATATGCACCACCATGCCTTCTGTTTTATTTTAATATGGCAGAATTCTCATGGACCTGTTTTTTTCTTGTCTTACATCAAGCAGAGATGACCCTGGAACACTTCCAAAAGGCTGAACTCATAATCCTTCCAAGTCTTTCCAAATCACCAGGTCCTCTCTCCCTCACACATTGACACATTACTTGTAACATTCCACAAGGTGTTGCATCTGCTTCATGCTCAGTGTCCTTCATCACTCTGGGAGTAACGGTGGCAGGAAGTAAACCCCACACAGCTTTCTGAGGGCCCTATTCATTGCAAGTTTTAGGAATTGCAAAATGCATGACAGCTGGTTTGGAACCAGCATTACCTTTGCACCAGCTTCCCAAGCCCCATTTCACTTTCTTGAAAATTTTGCACTTGAATCTTTTCTCTAATTCCACGGAGATTAGGACCGCTCTCAGAGGTCACCATCTTGGATTTAAGCCGACTCTTTCACTCTTTGCTGGGCGGCAGAACTATCTTGGCCACAGAGAACACAGAGGGGGAGATGAGGACAGACTGCTGAGAACTCTTTGTTCAAGGTTAACGGCAACTTCTTCCAGCATGTCTGCATGGGAAGAAGTCCATTAATTATTCAAGTCATTGGACTTTTTACCTGAGTGCAGAGGAAGACACTCTATCTTTCTGGTTCCCAGAACCTTCACAAAAGACAAGCAACAACTGTCTCACCTGAGAGGTAAGAAAGTAAGATCACTTAATTTGGGGGAAGAAAAAAAGAATTCAAAAAAGGTCTTTCCCCTAGAAGATGCCTGTGGGTGCTAGACTTGGCCTGGGTCTATAGACCTCACTGGAATGGGTCCTTGTGACAACTCTTAAGTCAGGGTCTTCTTCAAACTGAAGATGAAGATGTGATACTTCCAAGATCCAGGATCACAAACCAGTTGCAGACAAAGCTGGTATAGAAGCAAGTATGCCAGATGTAATAATTCTCTTCTCAATCTGATGATGGTACACTTGAACTGAGAGTCACAAAATCAACTAACTGGTCAATACTAGCATTAAAACTGACAGATTGGAATTTGAAAAAAATAGTGAAGTGATTCACATGAAGGGAAGTGTTATATTAAACCTGCTTTATATATGTAATTGGTATGTGTTCATGATTGTGACTCACAGTAGAAAATATATTTATTTTGAGCTGTGGGAAAAAAATCTTTGAGGGTCACTGTGGAATAATATGCCATATTTACATCAGCTTGTAGTAGTACACAAGCAATAAATGAAAAATTATGGTTATATCATGCCTTAATTCCAGAAAATAAGTGCTTTTTAAAGTAACAAATACTTCAGGATTAGAGAGGTTAAGAATCTTACAGTCACACAGTTAGCAAACTGCTGTCAAAAACTTCTGGAGAGGCAGAAACCACACGGATCACACATCATGTGTTGGAATCCGGATACAACTAAGGTGTAACAAGTGTTTGTATAATTGGCTTAAAATCTCTCAATTATTCCCAAATAGACTGATGAATTTTAAAGTACACAATGTTCTTTAATGTATCAATCAGTGGTACTCTAGGACATCTGACATTAAGAAACACAAAATAATACAAATAAGCGATTATGGAGAAGGAAAATCAGTCAAAGGGTTAGAAATAGGAGAAAGGACCAAGGACAAAGCAGATCAGAGAGGGAAGTCAATCCTATCAAGGGAAGTCCCATAGCAGGAAACTGACAGGAAACTCAGTACAGGGACAGTGCTGCCATGGTAAAGACCAGGTCTGTGGCAGGTCATGATGACCAGTGAGATGATTTCGGTCAGAACCAAGCAAAAGCACCCAACCAGCAAAGAAGCTGGCCTGAAAAGAACTCATGGATTTTTTTATTCCATTCTTTTACTTTTACTTTTTACATATAGGGATTAATTTTTATGGAAAGTGTTTGACCCCCACTGTGCCCTTCTGAAAATGAGGAATTGTGCCTTCATATTTCTAAAAAAGTATGTTAGAAACTTTCAGTTTGACCTCGATATAAGTGGAAACATGGTTTGCCTTATGTAAACTTTTTGTTCTGTTTCTGAAATTGATCACTGATTATGTCAGAGGTGATTTGTTCACCTACAAAATCTTCTCTATTATATAAACGGATCAAAATGTACATATTAATTTCACTGCTGGACTCTTGGAATATTCACAGGTGTTTTTCTTTTATGACAGTAAAATAATGCTGCCATTATTACTCTGGACAAATGCTTGAAGGTGGAACTTCTGCCCATCACACTTTAAAATATACTGGATAATACCTTATTTCTGAAGTGAACACTCAATTGAAACTCCAAAAAACATTGTATAAAAATTGTTTAATATACTGTTTACAGAATATATATGACAATTGTATGGATATGAAGTGATTTTAATTTTTTGTTCCTATTTACATGCTTTATTATTCTTTGGTGAAGTACACATTTATGCCTTCCCTTCACTTTTCTGCTGAAAAAAATCATTTCCCACATTGATCAAATTGTTTATATAATTCTACATGGGGACTTGCCACTTACAGGCACTGCAAATTACTTTCCAAGTTTGTGACTCTGACTGATAAGAATTTTTAAACAGTTGTATAAGGCTTAAATAATATGCTCCTTTAGTTTTCTATATACCCAAGGTATGATTTTTTTATTTTAGAAATGTTTCACTCATTTATAGTTTTAGTTCACTGGAAATTGACTTTTTGGTTATGTGGTGAGATGTAGGTTTCCATTTTTTTTTTATGTTTCAGCGTGGACAATTATCCAAGAACAGTTTATCAAAAAGTCCACCTTCTCCCGCACTGATCTGCAATGCACGTTATGCCGTAAGTCAAGTCTGACAACATGTGTTTCTGGATTTTTTTATTCCATTCCAGTAAAAGTAAACTTTTACTGTTTACATATAGGGATTAATTTTTATGGAAGGTGTTTAACCCAGAGACTCAAACACCTGAGAATCACACAGAACGCACTCGTGTGGTAGTGCAGCTCCAGGGCAGCAGATTTTGCTCAATACATGAGACGAAACCTGATTTCCTCCCCTTCCTCCTACTGCTGTATCCTTGACCCATTTGCTTTCTTTTCCTTGAAGAGGCCAGGTTCCTTGTTGACTCAGGTTTTATCTTTTGACACTTTCCTGATCCAACTGCAATGTTCTTCCTCCAGCTCATCCTTTATGTACCAAGAACAAGCCACAACAAGCACTGTCTGACTCCCTATTCTACAATTACCTTCTGCAGAAGTGGCCAATCACACTCCTTATTTTGCTTTTTCTTTAGCATGCATCCTTTGAAATGTTCTTGTATTTCTCCATTTATTTTCTTATATCCCCATCTAGAATACAAATTTCAAAATGTCACTGTTTGATTTCTGGAACCTGGTTCCTAGTGTTTATCAAATAAGCACTTGCTACTGAATACATCTGGTAAACCACAGGCAAGCCCAAACACTACTCTGTTTCAAGTTGCATCCCCACCGCTAATGGCAAAGGATCCTAATTCTATGGCCCCATCTCTTTGAACAATTTATTTACTGCTTGTAGGCTTCATTACAGACCTGTATAAACACTGCTAATCTGTGTAGGGTGTGAAAAGAAATTCTACGTGTTTAGAAAACCCAACACATAAAAGTTCAGTATATGTATTCATGGTCCCTTCAATAAAAACTATTGTCTTTTGCCTTTACAAATATTCAATGAGAAAATCTCTTACTGGTTGTATTAGAAAATTCACATCTGGCACTTTTTTCTAACACTGGCAAATTTCCTTTAGTAGAAAGAGAACTATAGAGTCTTCCTTTATTTAAAATAGTGTACCTGGTCTCCAGGATCTTGGTAAATTTTTGAAAAATAAACAAATCCAACCCAGAAAACAAAGCCACTTAAAGTAAACGGTGGCAATCATCCAATCATGCTTTATAAGGCACCGACTGAGCTACTGTCCTGTTTAATATTCGTAAGGACTAAGAATTTCCTGGTGATGGATTCACCTCCATTTCATAGACACAGTAAAAACTCATGAAGGTGGAATGTCTTGCATAAAATGCAGCTGGGGTAAGCAGAGGTCATGCTTCTGCATCCCGTTTTACGTTTTCCTCCTGCAAATCGTCACAGTCCTTGCTGACAGTAGTGGCCCAGAGCGAACTTACACTCGCCTCGATGGTACCCAATCAAATGCACTCTTTTTTTTAAATCCTCAGATGTCCTGTGCACCACGTTCTCTGCAACTTCCTTCTTCACTTAGATGGAGTGTTCTCTGGAATGTGCCAACCGATCCAGCAACCAGGATTTTATCCTCCTGGGTTTGTCGCCTAGCCCAAGCATCAGGAACACCCTCTTTGCCGTCTTCCTGGCCCTCTATCTGCTGATCCTCCTGGAGAACACACTCATCATCTACCTCACCTGCAGCCGCCACGAGCTCCACAAGCCCATGTACTTCTTTCTGGGCAACCTCAGCGCCCTGGAGCTGTGCTACGTGTCGGTGACCATGCCCACATTGCTTATGGGGCTGAGGTTGGGCGCCTGCCGTGTGTCCTTCCCCGCCTGCATGGGGCAGCGCTTTCTATTTCTGGCCCTCATGTGTACCAAGTGTGCCTTGCTGGTCTCCATGGCCTATGATCGCTACGTGGCGGTCTGCTGTCCGCTGCACTACCCGGTGCGCATGCGGCCCCCGGTGTGCCGCAGCCTGGCCGCGGGCGCCTGGCTGGGCGGACTGGGGGTCTCGGCGGCCCGGACTGCGTGCGTCACCCGCCTCGCCCGTTGCGCGCCCAGTGTCCTCGACCACTTCTTCTGCGCCGCCAGGGCACTGCGAGGTGGGGCCTGCGAGCCCGTGGCTAACCTGGCCGACGTCCTGGTAGCCAGCGCAGTGGAGGGCGGGTCGTTGCTCGCAGCCCTGGCCGCCTACGCCGCCATCGCGGACGCGTTGCTCCGCCTGCCCTCGGCCTCCGCGACGTGCAGGGCCCTGGCCGCCTGCGCCTCCCACCTGGTGGTTATGGGCGTCTTCTACACCGCCATGCTCACCGTGGACGCCTGCGCGGGCCGCGGTCGCCACGCCGAGCTGGACAAGGCGCTGTCGCTCCTCTACACGGTACTCACGCCCGCCTGTAGCCCAGTGGTCTACTGTCTGCGCAACCGCGAAGTGCACGACGCGCTGCGCAGGTCGCTCTGCCGCCTTGCGCGCTCTCGCGAGAACTGACGGCCTCGTGGGAATGTATGGACTGGCCACCATGACAACTGACTCCTCGCGGGAACTGATGGACTCACCAGAATTGACCTCCCGACCGTTAAAGACAGCACGCAAGAAAGGCTTTGTGGAAATTGATGCCTCATGAATAATCTTGATTTTCAAATATTGTTGATTTGTTGGAGACCAGAGGACACGAAATAATACATTATTATGCCAAGAACCAGGCCACATAACTGGGGTGGCGTCTCCAGGCCGTGGTGACCTGGCTTTAGGGACAGAACAGTAAGGATACCCTTGCTTCCGGGTGGGGGACCTCCGGACCCCAGCGTTCCTGAGGCTAGATAACATCAGAAGAATGCAGGCATACTGATACGAGGATGGAGTTGTTTTCCATGTTTTTGTTCCCCATTTACAACAGTTGCTGTGGATAAAAAAAAAAAAAGTGGATCAGCCCTGAGGTTGGTGTGCCTGTAACACAAGAGGCTGTTTCCTCTTGGTCTCCTAGTGCCTTGAATGTTGTCTTTTGTCTTCTCTCCGCCATTCCGGCCCCCCCCCCCCGGTATCCAGAGATCTGATCACCCTCATACTAATACAAAACCCATGAATGACTTTCAACAGCCAACACAAACTTCCAGATTACACCTGTGGCATTGTGAACAGGCTGTTTAAAAACCAATATGGAAAATAAGGCTATTCCAAAAAATAAACAAAGAAAAATGGTCATACATTAGCATATTACTCATGAACAAACATAACTAGCTGATAACCTGTATAAAGATGGACAATGAAATCTCTATTAATATAGGAAGTGAAAATGATAATAGAAAACTAACTTACCCTCTGCATATATATGTATAGACATAGATGATTAACATATATGCATGTACAAGTTTGTATACACATATGTGTAATATGTATAGATAAGGAGCAAGCCCAGTGATCTGTGAGTGTCCTTCCTCCTCCCGGGCACCAGGCCTCCAGTGTGTGAAGAGCGCCCTTGCCTTAGTCTGGCATCGTGCTCTAGAAACGCTTATGTCCCCTTAATGAGCAGTTTGGGTCAGTGCTCATCACCATGGTTCTTCTTATTGTCAGCCTCCTTCCTGAGGCCTGGGCCAGGGTTGATGGAGGAGGAGGAAGAGGTGAAGCTGGTGGGGTAAAAGGGGTGGGGGCTTGGTGATGGTGTGTCTGTGTGCTTCAGTGTGTGAAGGTAATGGTGTCATTTCACTCTCATGTCACATTTCTAATCATAGACCTTAGAACCGTTCTGAGCACCTGCATTGCTGTATGAGGTTCAATGGCTGTATGACTTAACCACAAGGAGGGACAGACACTAACGTGTCTTGGTCTCAATTCCTGCCGTAGTGAGACCTGAGAGTAGCACATGCACAGGGCTTCGCATACAGTCTGCAATTTAAAGTCCTGCAGGAGCAGTAGATATCACTGCAGCCATAAATCACTGGACATGTTTCTTGAATGGTACAAAATAAATCATTGAATCAGCAAACATATCCATTCTGAGTTCTGTTATCACTTTTGATTACACAGACTCTAAAACTACTTTAAAACAGACTTTAAAACTACTTTAAAGATAACAACATGCAATGTATTAACTATTGTGATTCTGATATTTTGTTGTGATATTTTTACTTTTTTCCATAAAATCCATTTTTAAAATAAATGTATTTTGGTTTTTAAGTTTATTGATACAATTTAAATATATATCATGATCACATTCATCATAAGGAGTTGGTACCTGTATATGATAAATATCTTAACTCCCTGATCTTCTCCCCTCCCTTCAACCCATATTCCCCTCTTTATTTACAAGTTTTGCTTACATCCTATTCTACTTTTTCATTTTTCTTTCTTTTTCTTTTATTCCTTTCCCACTTTTCTCTTCCCAGTTCCTACTTCCTTTTAAATAATTTCTTCCCATTTCACAATATCTATTGTATATTTTGGTCCTTATTTACTCTCCCAGTTTCTCATACCAGGAAGACAATGTGATATTTACACCTGTCCAATTTATTTCACTTAAGAGCATGGTCTCAAGGTGCATTCAAGGTGTATCTCAAGTTTATCCTTCTTTATGGCAGAGTAGTATGCCATTGTATTTAAAAAACATCTTTTTATCCATTCCTTGATTAATGGGCATTTGGATTGTTTTCAAGATTTAGCTATTAGAAACTGTGCTGCTATAAACATGGATGTACATATAATTCTGTGGTATGATGTTTTTAATTCTTCCAAGAAAGGGGATAGCTGGGTTAAATGGGACTCTAAGCTTAGTTTTCAAAGAAATCTCTACAGTAGTTACACTAGTATACACTCCTGCCAACAGTGGAGAAGGGCTCTCTTTTCCCCACAGCCCCATCAGCATTTGTTATTGATTGATGTCTTGATTATAGTGATTCTTTTTGGAATGAGGTGGAATCTCCGTGTTTTAATTTGCATTTCTTGAATGATCAGTGATTTCATATATTTATTTGCTCCTTGTGTTTCTTCCTCTGAGAAATGTGTATTCATCTCAGATACTCATTTTTATATTGTAAAATCAAACATTTTAACTCTTGTACACAATGAAATATTAAGCCTAGAATACGTAAACCCTCTTTTTAATAAACTTTCTTAAAATACAAAACATTATGTGTAATACAAATATCTTAAAGCAAAGAAAGGACTCATTAAGCAAAAATTTAAAAGAACAGACTAAGTTTTTAAAAATCATACAATCCAGAATTAAATCTAATTTTCTTTGTCAAGAGCAGAAGGTAATTTTTAATTTACACACCTTGTGCATCAAAGGGAGAATAAAACCTAGTCACTTAAAAACTGGTGTGAAAGGCTTTCAACAGAAACCATTATTAGTTCCGTCACAAACTTCCATACCCATAGTACAATTGTCCCCGGGCATTTTCATCCCTTAATCTTTCTGCACTTGTAGCATCACTTAGGAAATGAAGGGGATGATGACTTGCTCCCCTGTTTTCTTTACTGGAATGTTCTGAGAATAAATGTAATACAATCGAAACCTAAACCAAAAAAAAAAAATCCAAAACAAAAACTCCTAACTTGTTACCTTGTAGTCCTTTACTCAAAGCATATTTCATGGCTTCCCCATTTAATGTTCTTACACCTCTCAATTCAAGGGCTGTCCTGAGTGTCAATCAAAGCATTTTGTGTTGAAAGAAAACACTTTATTCTGCATAGTCTGAAATATACTTACTTATGTGTAAATAATCACAAACATGTATTTATTCATCATTTTCTATTCTTATTACTCAACATATATATTAAGAATTAAGGCAAATAAAGTTGAGTTATTTCTCTTTTCTCACAAACTGAAGCTTTGTGCTCTCAGTGGGGTATATTTCCTTGTGCTTAAAAAAGATGACTGAAAGTATTTAGGAAAAATAGAATATAAAACACACTTTCAAGTGAGGAAGTTATATTTAAGAAGTATCACTTTGGAAGAAAGGAAAGTTGTTATGTTGGTTAGAATGACCTAGATCATCTTTCTTCTTTGAAAGTTGTGGGAAATCACAGGGTTGGGGGACAGCTGTGTGGCTGCTGAGAGGCAGAGTCCTCTCGTTGGGCCTGGGTTGCTGGCACTGCTGTGTCCACTTGGTAAGCAGGTCCGCTGAGTGCAGCAGAGAGAGGCCCCAGGAAGCACAGGCTTTTGATTCTGCCAGCTAAGGACACCTTACTTCTTCCCTACTCCAGGACACCACAGGAAGTATACTGGAACCACTTGGGCGCTGAATTTTGTTCCCTTTCAAAACCGTAAGTTTTAAATGTTCACTGCTAATTTCAGGAGATATCTATATTCAGTAGTTTGAGTGTCTGGACTGAGAGAGTGACATATTTCATACAGATTTCTCTTGGGAACAATGAAATCAATCTGGAAGTGGGTAATGGTGATGATTGTACAACTTGCAAGCATACAAAAAAGCACTGAACATTGGTCAGCTGGTCAGCCTGTGGACCACCGCAGGGTTCTTCTGAAGGGTGCCTGGACCTCCCGGTTGCGCAGGCAATAGATGACAGGGTTGCACATGGGTGTCACCACTGTGTAGATGACTTATAGCACCTTGTTAAGGTCCATGGCCTCCATGCGGCTGGGTCGGGCATAGATAAAGATAGTGGCTGAGTAGAAGATGCCCACCACCACCAGGTGGGAGGCGCAGGTGGAGAAGGCCTTGTGGCGGGCAGCGACTGAAGGCATGTGGAGCAGTGTTCTACCGATGGCCATGTAGGAGGCCACAGCCACAATAAGAGAGCCCCAGAGGATGACGATGGCGGAGATAAAGTCCACCAGCTCCGTGAGGGCCACATGGGTGCAGGACAGATTGAGCAGAGGGGAAACATCACAGAAGAAGTGGTTGAGGATATTGGGGCCACAATAAGACAGGCTGGCAATGCATGCTGTTTTGATCACTGAAACCACCAGCCCACCCAGCCAGGAGGACATGGCCAGGCCCAGGCAGACCTGGGGCCGCATGAGCAGCAGGTAGTGCAGTGGACGGCAGATGGCCACATAGCGGTCATAGGCCATGGAGGCCAGGAGGGCGCACTCCATGCAGATGAGGGAGATGAAGAAGAAGAGTTGGGTCATGCAGGATGTGAAGGGGACATGGAAAGGTGCAGTCCACAGCCCCAGGAGCAGGGTGGGCATGGTCACAGATACGTAGCACAGCTCCAGGCCGCTGAGGTTGCCCAGGAAGAAGTACATGGGCTTGCGGAGTTCGGCGTGGCTGACGATGAGGTAGATGATGAGGGTGTTCTCCAGTAGGGTGAGCAGGTAGAGGGCCAGGAAGACGGCAAAGAGGGCATCCCTGGTGCTTGGGCTGGTAGATAGGCCCAGGAGGACGAAGTGCTGGACGCTGGTCACGTTGGCTGGCTCGAGGAAGTTCTCCATCAAAGAACCAAAGATACCTGCAAAATAGTTTTTGAATCTCTCTATCCATCTTTTCCCACCCTAGACCGAAACCATTTTCCCATTTAAATGAAATAATTTCATATCAGCCTGTCTGCTTCTGAACTTCTCCTATACAATCCTCCAGATAGCAGTTAGTAGGATCTTTAAGTCTATAGATCACATGGGATCATGCCTCTGCACAAATCTCCAATAGCCCCTAGTGTAGATAACAAGTGCCTTATTTGGACCTCCAGCCCCGAGTGGCCTGGTCCCTGCCCCTGCCTCGGGTTTCACTCATCACATGTACACTTCCCACCCTCTGCAGCCCCACACTCTTCCATATTCTCAAATGTTCCAAGGTCTTTCCAGCCTCAGAAAATCCTGTGTGAGTTCCCTTCTATATGGAACACTGTCTCCTCATTCTTGCTTTGTTCATTTCTAGGGATTCTTGACCTCCTTGTCAAGAATTTCAGTGCCTGGCCCTCAGATCCCTCTGTCTTATTCTCTATGTCTGTACCCCTATTTCTGTATGTTCTTTCAAGAGGATTTTCTTTCATTTAAATTACTTGCATGTTGTTCCATTGTTCAATGTCTTTCTAACTGAGCTGTAAGTTCCCTGAGGATAAAAAGCCTGAATCATTAAGGATTCTATGCCCCAGGCTTCACAAAGAAGAGTTCCTCTTGCTACACTAATAGTATTCAGCAGAAGTGTGCTATGTATGGTGAAACAAAGCTGAATTTTCAGAAATTTCTCCTCTCAGGAGGCACCAATAAAATGTTATAGGGTATCGGCCTGATGAACTGGGTCTCCTTCAAAGTGACCTTGCTCTTCAACTCATGGGTGTCGAATTTAAGGAACACAATGTGAAAAAACAGTGAATTTGAGTTCAAAAATTCTTTGTTGTCTGCTTATTTCAGTCTCTAGCATGTTGTTGGATTTGTGCAAGCCTCAATTTTATCCTCCATAAAATGGGAAGGATGAACTGGCTTCCATCAGATTATGTGAAGATTGCATCAGAAAATGAAAATAAACACTCTGTACAACTGCTACTACGTTCGATATAATTGGATCTCTTCCCTTTTAGGTGTCCTTCAAATAGCTACAAACAACTTCAGTAATTCTCCTAGACATCTTGGTGTGGAATAGAATTTTTTTTCTCTTTTATTTAGATGTGAGTCACATATTGATTTCTTGATATTTAATGTGAAATCGACTACCACTAAAGAAAGAATTAACTAAGGTCATTTTTCCAGAAAATTGCTCTTTTCAGTAGCTTTATTGAGTGACTGTGTCAAGTTTTACTTGCCAGGCTCATCTTGATGGAAGTCCGATGTTTCTTCCTCATCACCTGATCCTATCCATGGTGTCATGTAAGTCTCCTGTGCACGTCTTTCTGCACACTTGAAATCATAGCCACAGAGCCCATTCTAGAAGCACCACAATTAAACATGTATGCTCATTTGAACTTTTGAAAGAGTCAGATTTACACTCCCAGAAGTTGTCTGTCGGCTGTTAGCAGTACATAGCAACGCCAACTTCCCTATACCACTCCTCGTAGTGTGTACTATTGACTTTCTGATCTTTGCAAACTTGATGAGCAGTAAGGATATATATTGGTAGTGTTCAGTGTGTACTGTTTTACTATTATACATAGTGTCTTCATATGCTTAAAATTGATTTTTAATTCCTTTTACCAAACTGCTTGTCTTTGTGCCTTGCCCACTTTGTACCCTAGCTTGAATCATTTTATTAATATTTTAGTATAAATGCTTTAAATATAAAGAATTGGGATTTCAGAGGCTAAGCTATCTGCTGAAGACCTCGCAATGTGGAAATGCTGAAGTAGTAACATGGCCCAGGGTATGCCCGACCATGGTAACAGGGGCCTCTGTTTCCAGAGAATGTGGGGGTTCCCCAACATTGCCAGACTGACTGGGATGTCACAACTGGAAGAAAGAATGTGTGGGTTGTTAATTAATTGGGGGCAACCTCAAGTTTTATTCATGAGATGTCAGACTGCTGATGTTGGAAGTGTCTTGGTAAGGATCTAGTCCAATTGGCTGAGATTATAAGGGTAGAAAATGAGCTACAAGACAAAATCTTTTCTCACCAAAATCCTCCACAGCCTTTATCTTCCATTACTTTGTGAGTTTCTCTCTCCTCCGTGTTTAAAATCATCTCTGGCTTTGGACTCCCATGAAATTTAACTCTCCCAGTATCCCATGTGCAACCTGATTAAGCCAGATCATTCAACCTCTGTAATTCACTATATCTTCATATACATGAGGGGATTATCATGATTTATCTGATAGAGCTTTCATGAGGTCCATAAGCATAAATGGAGGTTCTGGGAGAGGAGGTTCCTTGCCCAGGTCACAAAATAATTGTTGGTAATGTTAACACCATCTTGCACTTGTTAACCTTGGATCTTTTGGTTGTTAAATTATTAAAGGGCTCAATTACCATATCAAATTACCATAAATTATTAAAGGGCTCAATTACCATATCAAAAAGTAGAAATGTGCTACCTATGTGGGGTGACCTTCAGTGGCAGATAGATAAAATTTGGAATGATACTGACAAACCAAATATGATTGCTATTTCTCTTTTCATCACAGTTATTACATCTAGGAAAAAGTCTCAACTTGGTACTAATGTGCTTTGGTTTCTCACTGACTCTTTCTAAACTTTCCTTCTAACAAATAGGAGGCAACCCATTCATTTCAGCGGTTTGGATTTGAGAGCTAAACCTAGGGCACTTTGCCATCATTTTATTCTATCAAATTTTGTTTCTTTGGTCACCTTGTACTTGTGGAAATTGTACTGACTTTCTTCTTCTCTAGAAAGGAATATAACTTCCCTTTAATATAATTTTAGTCATAAAAATAAGTTGTTTAAAGAAAAATGGTACGTAAACACGCAGCCCACACTGCTTGGAGGTATCACGGGAATTTGGGAAATGACCACTGAGTCTCTGGAGCTTAGGAGATACTGTGCATCTCAATCTTGCACCCCAAATGTGTGGTAAATAGATACCCTGCACTGCTGATGGGGCAGCAGAGAGTTCCCCATTGCACCCACTCTCCACCAAGGATGCACATGCAGCAGTAGATGGAGTTTTCTCAAGTCCTGGAACAAACAATTTGCTTTGGCTTGATAATAGTCCTTGCCCAGAGAGTCACCCTATCTCTTCTGCAAAGTCTCCTTACCACCCAGAGCTACACCTGTCCAAAATGAAGACCATGGTGATGCTCATTCTGTCTATGCCTGTCTTTTCCCTTCAACAGGTGTTTTTTTAAAGAGTAAAACAGACACATTACTGAACCCTGACTATGCCACGTCTCCCTAAGAGTCCTTTTAGAAAAATGTTTAACCTCTATGAGTCCCAATTGGTTAAAAAATAATGACCTAAGATTCTGCTGTTGAAATAAACACTGGACCCAACAATAATTTCCATTTCTTGGCATTTACTAAATGCCAATTACTGTGTGATGTCATTTATTCTATGTATGCCCATCCCAGCACTGACAGAGAGGCATCAATGTCAACATATGAGAGATGTAGAAATAGAGGATTAAAGAGTCTAATATTTCCCCAAATCTCCCATCAATAAGTAGTACAATGCAGATTCAGCTTCCCAGGATTGGTTGGGTTTCTTCCATTTTAATAAAAGTTATTTATTTTAGGAAAACATGCTGGCCAAAGAGAAAAAGAAAACTCTTCTTCTCCTCTAGGAAGGAAATTATCAGGCCAGAAGGCTATGGGAAAGCACTAAGCTTGACATCCTCACTCCGTAAAGACAGAAGCAAAATATATCCACAGCTCCACAGAAGGTAGTGATGTTGCTGATATTACAATGAGGTACCGAGGATGGGTCCAAAGTTTCCCAAAATGCAGGTGTGAAGCAGCTGGAGCTCTATCCTTGGCTAAGATTTTGCAGGTAAGATCCTATCTCACTGTCCTGGGGACCTTGAAGGGTCTAATTATACTGCAGGATCATCGCTTTCTTAGTCCCATTTTCTTAACTCGGGATGAGAGACTCAGAGAGCAGAACGTGTTAATCTGTTCAAGGTCCCTCCACAAGTTATGGAGCTGGCACTCTGGTTTGGTTTACAGCTGAAAGTTATACCATGGAGTCATATTCATCTGCTACTGTATTTCTCTGGGTCTCAATTCCCATGATTGTGAGTCTAACTTCACAGAAGATGGTTAATGTTCAAATGAGTCTGTTCTCTTCGACCCAATAGAGAACAAAGCTGTCACAGGTCCTGATGGACCTCTGGAGGACCCGTGCTGCGAGCTGTCCTTGGTCCTAAAACGGTGTCCCAGAACCCTCCGCGCTGTCCTTGGTTCTGAAACTCTGCCCCATGCGCTCTGTCTTAGAGAGCTGGCCTGGTTCTGAAGCTCTAGGTCGCTCCCACCAGAGCGGGCAATGCCCTTGAGTCTGACCTTGGTCCTGAAACTTCACTGTGCAGCTGCACTGGGCCGGCTCCCGAGGTGCTGTCCTCCAAGCAACTTTCTCCAAGCAGCTTTAGTCCTGGCTGGCTGGACTCTCCCTGAATCCATAAAACCCCTCTCTGCCCTCTCCCTTGGGCCATCCTCTCCCCTACAGGGCTCTTCCACTCTCTGTTCCCTTCTCCCCTTCTCCTTATGTTTTTAAGTTTCTCTTCCCCTCCGCTCAGTCTCACCTTTGATAATGATGATTCTCATCTCAGACCTCACAGCTAACCATACTATTCCAGAAGAAGAGCCTTTCAAAAACTTATCTTACGTAAGAACAAACAAATCTAATTTTGAAAGTGACTTTTGTAACTTTTCAGTGCAGAATCAATACCCAAGATCAATTTGGGGTTTTGTTTCTCCTATAAACATCCCCAGGGTGCTCAATGTCCTGTGCACTATGCATACACAGCAGGAGATGTGGAGATGTGGCCGTGTGCCCAGAGGGGCTCCCTACCTGCAGCTTTCCTACCAGCTAGATGTGGGCACACTGCTTAAC